ATTTTCCAGGAAAATAAGAGAAAGGGGACGGGAATGCTGTGAGTCCTTAAGGTAGATGAAATCTCTTCAGGAGGCAGAGCTGTCACGCGAGGGAACGGGGCAGCTCCGAAATCGGGTGTTTTCCGTGCTGAAATCGGGTGGCGGATCCTGCCAGGGTGAGGGGTGGGGAGAGCTCGCCCACCGGGAGCAGCAGCTCTTTGAGGGGCCCCGCGGGATCCGGCCGGGAATTCTACACGTCCCCAAAAGAGGAAACCCCGAGGTTTGCAAACAAACAGCTGCTCAAAACTACGTCTCCAGACTTCATTAGGAGCAGAAAAAATGGCTCGTTCTGTGCCAAATGGACGTTTTGCTGCCAAGAAAGTGCCACCTACTGGATCTCACCCGGCGGGGAATCATCAGGACGGGAAACAAATTCAGAAAACACAATGCTGGGAAAAGTACGTTTTTTCATCTTTTTTAACTAAAACAACATTTAACTGCATAGATATTGTCCCAGTCACAGCCCCTCTCCAGCCACGCTCCTTCCACAGCAGAGTCAGACAGACTTTTGAAGCGGACAGAAGTTGGGGAGGGGGATGAAGTTTTAGGATTTGCAAGAGAGACTCACCGGTGCTGAGAAGCCGCTCTCGTCTCTCGCAGTTCGCTCAGCTCCCGTGGGTTCTCTCCCAGTTTTCCGTGCTTTCCTAGTTAAATCCTGCTGCCATTCTCCAGCAGTCAAGCTCCCTGTCCTCCCTGCACAGGCTGTGAGCCCGATGCCCCGAACTGAAGGAGAGTGGGAGGCAGAGCCCACCCGGCACCCCGGCCTGGGGGTGTCCGTGCCGTGGCTCCCCGCTGCCCTTTCCTCCCGGTGCCGCTCGCCCCGGGTGTCTGAGAGCAGGTGACAGAGGTTCCTTGGCAGAGGAGAGAGGAGGGGAGGGATGTGGAGGCAGCGAGAGGTGGAGCTGGGACCCGGAGCAACAGGTTACTGTATAACCAGGAGCCGGTGGCCCCGGGAGCGCCGGGGGCTGCTGCAGCCTTCGCCCACTCCCCAGGCAAGGCGACCAAAAGCCCAGGAGCCCAGGACGTGTTAGGCTTTGGGTTCCTCGCTCCGGAGAACATTTTGTACCCAATGGGAAGGTTGAAGGTGGCGAGGGGAGGTGAAGGAGTGCTTGGAGCTCAGTTTTCCATCGCCGGTGAGGGAGGGGACGTGCTGCCCGACCGCCTCGTAGGGGGAACAAGGCACCTTTTGTGCAGCCCAGGGCTCTCCTCGGCGGCTTGTTTTCCTCCAGCATCGCCCCTGCCTGCTCTCTGTCCCGACGTCTGCGGCAAAGAAAGGTGTTGGGAGATGGAGAAGGCAAAGCGTCCTTTCTCTCACAATCCCCAAAGCAATCGGGGGTGCGGAGCAGAGTCCCCTTTGGGGTACCCCCTCTGTGGCACTGTGCTCTTTGGGTTTATGTGGCCATAAAGCTCCTTGTTCTGCCCCAGCTCTTCCGTGAAAGACGGTAGGTTTAGATGGGTTATTGGGAACAAATTCTTCCCTGTGGGGATGCTGAGGCTCCGGCACAGAGAAGCTGTGGCTGCCCCATCTCTGGAATCGTTCAAGGCCAGGTTAGACAGGGCTCAGAGCAGCCTGGGATAGTGGAAGGTGTCCTTGGCAGGGAAAATACCATCTGGCTCAAACCGATGTGTCCACAGCAGGGTGGGATCCTTCTGGTTAGCCATTCCTGTCCCAAAACAGAGACTTTTGAGAGTGTTTTATGGAAGTGCACGTGTCCGCAGGCCTCCCCACCATGCCCACACTGTGTGTCGAACCCCTGCCATGTACATGTGAAGCGAGACCCGGTGTCGCTGGCCCTGCGAGGAAACAGCTGTCACTGTGACACTAGGCAAAGAGAAAAAGAAAAGCTTCCCCCTCCGGACTGCGGCCTGGGAGAAGCCCAAACTCCTTAGCTTGACATTTGCCGAGTTGCCCGCTGCTGTGGGTTTCTCTGAGGGGCTTATGCCCAGCGCAGGGCCTGGCCCGGGTCCAGGCGCTGCACGGAGGAGCCGCCCCGGTGAGTTCCTGCGGGAGGAATGCGGCCGGGTGAGCCGGGCGGGCAGGGGGAGAGCAGCTCCCTGCCTGACAGTCGGGATTTCGGCAGCTCGGGTTTGACAGGACCACGACCTCTCCTGCTGCGGGACAGCACGAACCGATACTCGGTGTGGCACTCCCACCCAGTGCCCCGTCATCCTCCTCGCCGGGATCCCAGGAGATACAGTGTGAAAATACGGCCAGCCCTAGGAGAAGCAGGATATTGTGAAAACACGGCCAGCCCTAGGAAAAGCAGGATTTAGGGAATGCCTGCCGTACCAGGCAGGAGAAGGGATATCAGTCCAACACAAGGGAAATGCAGTAGGAATGTCAGCTGTGCTGGAGCCTGGTGAGCCTCAGCAGCCGGAAGATTTTGTGCAGGACATCCCTAGACCCTGAAATGCATCACTGGGGTGTTTCAGGAGGATTGCTGGTCTGGGCTGATTTTCTCAGAATGCAAACAGGGAATTGGACAGGACTGTGTTTTAAGGCACTGCTTCCTATCCAGCTCCACATTCTCAGTTAAGACAGGGCTACTGTGAGCTGCTGTGCCCCACAGCAAATCTCTTAACTGCTCTGCAGAGGCAGCAACTTTTCCTCTGGGCAGGGAAGAAAACCACAGGGGAGCTTATTACACCTTCCCTGCTGTCCCACCTGGCAGCTGACAGTGCCGGTGGGGGTGGGCCAGAGGCAACTGGAGAATCACGGAATGGTTTGGCAGGAGGGAATCACCCTGTGGTATGGTGGCAGTTCCTGACGTGGCTCCCAGGTGTGGAACCAACTAAGTGCATGTCCTCAGCCTCCCTCCTTCACTGGAGCACCAGGCCATTCCAGAGGGACATCATATATTCATGGGGCCATAACACCCTATCTCAGTATCTCAAATTTGGAAATCCTGGAAGGCTGACTTGCCTTTCGGGATCAGCCTTTTAAATCAGGCTGGCGGCAGACACCCCTGTGATGGCTCGAGAACAAAGACTTGTCGAGTAAACACCACCCAAACCCAGCTCCTCAAAATATGTGTTCCTCTAAATTTTTAATGCTGTTTGCATCCAACTTGCTTGTCCTGTTTCAGAAGGGCTGGGCCTCGTAATTAAAAGCTCCAGCGATTGTATGTCTGGCAAATGTCATCAATGGCTTCACTATGTGTGCCCTGCTTCTCCAGGCAGTGGGAACGGTTTGGAAAGGAGCTTCTGGTTAGGGAAACTCTCTGAAGCTGATTCACTTTGGGTCTTTGTACCAGCTCAGCATTGAGAGATGCCTCCATGCAATCAGGGACACCAACACAAGGACAATTCCCATTGAAAGCCTGGAAATACCTGGGATGAAGGAATTGTCTGAAGCTTCCAGACTTCATCCTTCATCAAGGAGCACAGGGCTCTCAGCAGCAGCAGTATCCCATGAAAGAGTTCACGGACAATTTTATCTGGAATTGGAAAACTGAAACCAGACCTGTCCTGCCCTTGTGAGAATGCAAGTCCAAGTTGGTGCCAACTGACCCCAGCAGGCACCAACAGCCAGACAGGACTCTGAACAGTTGCAGCCATCAGGCCCTGCTCTGAAACGAGCCCAAAATTCATGTTTGTTATCCTATGTGCAAATTTACCCCATGCCTCTCTATCACCAAGTATTGGTACTCTCTGCTGATCCTTGTTTTGGGATTCTGGGTGATAGGGAGGGAGCAAAGGGTTCACCATGTTTTATAATTCGTATTTAGTGTTTATTTTGTTTGTGGTGATCACCCCAAGAAGGTGAAGCACAGGGGCTGTGACTCAACATTAACCTGTGTGACCCTGTTTGCTCTATCACCTGCATTCAGGTAAAAATTCCACTTTGCAATATTCCCTTTAGAACCTGTCAGTTGTTCTGTGGGCAGACCTTTGTGTAAGGTAGGTGCAAACACCAAGAAAAGTTTGTGCTTTTTTTTTGTGCCCATCCAGGAAGTTTTGCTTGTGTGCTTTGATCGTTTATGGGGCAGGGACAGCTCGGTATGTTGGTCACTCCTTGGAACAAGCATGTGATGGCACATTCCATCATGCCAAGCAAATCTGGAAGGACAAATAGGTGGGGGCTCCATTCAGGCAGATTAAGCACAGAAACATTTGGTCGTTCAGTTTCCGGGGTGCTCCTTAGCCCCAGTTCTGCTGCTGTGTTGTTTCTGTGTGAGCAGCAGAGGGTGGCTGTGCCCTGGCTTAGCAGGACCTGTCCAAGGGGATTTGTGCCAGCGGGTACTCTGGTTGTGACTGCCAGGTAGTGTAATGTGGACAAAACTTGCTGTTACCTGACCTAGGTAGGGTTGGAAGGGACTTAAAGCTCATTTCCTTCCATCCCCCTGCCAAAGGCAGGGATAGCTTCCACTAGACCACGTTGCTGCAAGCCCCATTCAGCCTGGCCTTGGACACTTCCAGGGATCCAGGGGCAGCCACAGCTTCTGTGAGCAACCTGTGCCAGGGCCTCAGCACCCTCTGAGTCACAAATTTCTTGTTAATATCTCATCCAAACCAACCCTCCTTTCGTTTGACAGCACTTCCCCTCATCCTGTCACTAAATGCCCTTGTGAACGGTCCCTCTCCAGGCTTCTTGTTAGCCCCCTTTAGGTACTGGAATCCTTAAGGTTGGAAAAGCCCTCTGTGATGATCAAATCCAACCACTGAATGACTGAGGAATGAAACTGGGCCCTTCCACAGAACTTTTGTGTCTTTTGCCCCTTTCTACCTCCACCAGAAAGCAAAGAGCAGCATGGTTGAGGTACCACTGGCCTGCACCCAATTTTCAGGCCCTTGTGTGAATGCAAATTAGCTCAGACCTTCTCAGGGCAGGAGAAGGGGCTACACACAGAAGCAGGATCAGGATCAGAAGAGGCTTTCACACACATCCAGGCTTGCCCAAGTCTTCCTCTGGGTGACTTAGCTGGAGATCTGAACAAGATGCTCTACATTTCAAACGCTCCTTAGATCCAAAACATCATTTATTTGAATGAATAAATAAATATAAAAATAGGAAATTCTGAATAGAAAATAGGCTTCTTCAAAACACCAGGAACTCCCAAAGCTTTCCATTACAACATATTTTTGAGACAGTAAAAAACTCTGCACTTGCACCAGTTAGAAAAGGCTGGACTGTACTAATTTTTGAAAAATTGCAGAAATAAGCACATTTAACACCAAATAGAAATAAAGCTGCTAACATTCTGTTGGACTTTTAAACAGGACAGAAGAGAGAATGAATGGTGAATGGTTTTGTTCATATTAAAACCATCCTGTTTAACCAAACATCCCCTCAAATAATGTGTAAGAACTGGCTGCCAAACCTTGTGGCTTGGTTCTCCAGGTATGCACAAAACCCAGTTCTACTCTCCCCCACTGGGATACATCAGGTTCTGCCCTACTAAAGTCAGGGAAATTACCACTGAGGTCTGGAAACACAAATGAGAGCAGCAGAGCAGCCATGCCCTCAAACACGGACGTGTGCGTGGCAAAGCACAAGTGAGCCCTGGCCTGATTTGTTTCTGTGTCATTTGGGCTGCATGTTGCTGCTGTGCCATGAAAACTCCCACCATGCCAGCAGCACTGGCTCCTATCCTGTGCTGGGAATGGATATTTAGTACTGATCCCTGGTGAATGCCAGAGTGTTAAGTGTTTTGCAATTAATCCCTTGCCTTTGCCATAAATAAGCCAATGGTGGACAGCATCACACAGCTCCCGGGCAGGATATCTATGTCCCCAAAACTTCTAATTTAAACAGAGAGAAGCTTTACAGGGTATTTACATACATAGGAATTCCATAGTGGAAATAAAGCCCCACTCATTCAGAGAAGGAATGTGTGTCAGGCATGTGGGAAGGGGCCGGGCTCAGCTGACAAAGGCAGCGATGGCCGTGACCTTGAGCCCCGACTCGAGTCCGTAGGCCGAGAGCAGCAGCGCGTTGAGGAGCACATCTGCCCACAGCACGTAGGTCTGCCACAGCAGCAGGTACACACACAGCACCACGCTGCCCACCGTGAGCCCCAGGCTCAGCCCCAGCGGCGCCTCTGCTTCTGTCAGGTTACCCTTGAAACCTGCAAGGAAACAGAAACCCAAAGTCCAGTTTGTTCTGACAAGAGCTCAAGCTGTAACTCGAGAATATTCCTGCTCAAAAAAGGCTCTGGTTCAGACCTTGCTCTTTCTAGAGTCCTAAAAAAGCTCAAAATATGTTGAAATACCAGCCTGAATTGAGGCTCTTCCAGCAAACAGAAACCCTAACACCAAGGGACAGTCCATTTCAAAACAGGAAAACTAACCAAAGTTAATCTAAATAAGTTCATCAGTTGATAGAGACAGCCAGGGCACCTCTTCTTACCACAGAGAATCACTTCTGAAGCTGCATCCTTCTGAGCATTCAGTTTCAACCATCAAACTCGCCCTGAGCTGCCCAGCCCTGCGTTCAACAGGGTGACCTTGGTGGTCTCCTGGATTCCGATCCTCACTTTCAAGTCTTATTCCCTGCTAACCTATTCCTGTTTCAGATGACTGTCATTGTAGAGAAGCTGTCTTTCTCTGTTTCCTGCAGCTTATTTCCAAGCCCAGCTCAGTAGATTTTGGTGTTTAACTACATTAGAGTTGAAACCCACTTCTTTATTCATGGATCAGGCTCCAAGCAAATACACAGAGAGCTTAAAGGCATTGGAATAAATCCAACCCTAGAGCTAGTCAGGGGCCCTACCCTGTATAAATGTCTTGAGAGCATTGAGCAGATTTTAGAAGTGCTTTGGGTTTTTTAAAAATTGGACTTGAAGAAGTTTTAGCAAGGTCTGGACAAGGTCAGGAGGCACTTCCCACCCTTCTGTCTTAGTGAAAGGAATGTGTTGGTGCTTGCAGGTGTCATCACGAGTGAAAGGAAAGGTGTAGGGGGTCTCCAAATATCTGCTCAACTGACAGACTCCCTTTCCAAATGATTCATGTTTACAGATTACATTCCATTTGCTCTGATAACATGACCTACCCAAGTACAATCGAGGCACTTCCAGAATGGCCATAAGAAAAAGCACAGTAAGATCAGGAGCCAAAAGATCATCTGGATAACTGAAAACTTGACCTGGAGAATAAAGCAGAGTAAATAAAGCAGGAAAACAAAGCAGGACAAAACCCAGCTGTGCATCAGCACAGCTTGCTCTGGGGACAATACCTGCGACTTACTTTTGTAAATAATCATTGCAAGAGTCACCAAGAAGTAGAAGATGTAATAAATCCCGTTTACATAAAGCAGGATCTGTAAGGGAAGCGATGACAGCTGAGAACGGTTGTTAAGGATTTCTCAGTGATGAGGTGGGATCTATTCCATAAAATCACCATTTCCCAGTAACCCCAAAATATACTGCACTCCCTCTTTATACTGAATGGTCCAGCTATGCCTGGCCTGTCAGGAGGGTTCAGGAAGGAACTTGAGGCTGTGAACACCACAGGCTGGGATAAAAGCTTGCTGTTTCGGGCTTGGCTTTAGTTCCTTTCTTAAGGAATTTTATTTGGTCTGTAGTGGGGCATCTGTTAGCCTGAGGAAGTGGGGGGGATGCATGTGTACATTGCCCCAGACCTCTTAGTCAGCCTTAAGGAAGTTGACAGAGAGTTGGCAAACTCCATCAAACTTGTGTTTGGAGAAGAGGTGGCTCTGTGTAGCAGCCAGGCCTTGTTCCTGCCCACAGCATGGAAATGCTGTGCTCTGTACCTGTCTGAGCTCAGCTTTGAGATGCAAATTCCTAAGAAACAGCCCCAATTCACTCCCCTCTCTCCCCCAGCCCTTTTCAAATCATACGAATATCTCCAAGCAGGGATTTCATCCCAGGCATCTTTTACAGGAACTGCCCATCCCGTTTCTAAACCCACCCACACGCCGTGGATGGATTCCAGTTCCCAGAGCAGCTCATTTTATTAACGTAGAACCAGGTTTTGGGGTTTTTCCAGTTGAAGGAAGGTGGAGCAAAAAATTACTAGATAGGTTCTAAGCATGGAAATCTCCAGAGCCAAGGGTGTCTCCTCCTAGGAGTTTACTTGGATCTCAGCAGGAGTAAAGGTGGGGTGACTTACCATAAGAGAGGAGGAAGTTACTTCTGAGAGCTGCTTTTACTACCCCTTGTCAGCTGTGTCAGCTGTCTGTGAGCTGTGATGCAGGGGGTGTGTACACCAGTCCATAAATACAATTTTTAACCTCCTTTCCTAAGAAAATGGGTTAAGTCATGACTGCAGAGGGGCTAAATGGGTTTCTGCAGGAGTCCCTCAGGGGCAAATCTCAGCTAAACCCACACAAAACATCTTCCCTTGGAAGCCATGAGGTCCCAGTTGTGCTTCCTGGGGATGACACTGATGGAATATTCAGGAGTACAAACCCAGCGCTGTGCAGAGTTACTGGGCAGAAGACAGCAATCCACTTGAGGTAGTCTTTTCCAGGATTCTTGCATGGTGGGAGCAGTGGTACAGAAAGGATACAATCTCTGATGTTCTTCCTTTCCACGGAGAAGGAGAAAATAAAGAGAAGAAAATAAGTCTAAATCCAGAAACATTCTAACAATGGTATCTAATTCTGGGAGCAATCTCTTTTTTCATCTCCCAGGAACATTTATTGTTTTCAAGATCATGGTCTTCAGGTTCTATTAATAACCTTTTCAACTAGATGAAGGCTCAAATAATTTGGGGAAAATCCCTACTGGGAAAAGCCCCTTTCAGTGAGGAACTTTAGGCTCTTTTAAAGCCCGAAGGAGTGCACAGACATTATCCAGAACTTGTTCATCCTGTCCTTTCCTAGCAGATGACACTTCATCCCCTCTAACTATGCAGGAAGGAGGTGAACATGGGATCCATTTGCTTGTAAATTGTGAGAAAGTTTGTGGAGAACACAGGGCTCCCAGGCTTCTCTAAATACCATCCCTCCAAATGTCATCCCTCCAAACCAGTTCCCTTCACAAAGTCATTCCACATCCAACCTCAGTGTGTTCCGATGGCCCACAGAAATCAAACCAAGTATTTACAATGATCCAACCAACACGTCGCTTTTTTCCTTATTATTTTCTGCAAAAATCACAAAATTCCCGTGCAAAATTCCCATGATGACACCAACCTATTAAAGCACCTCTTGCATTCCACATTAACATTCTCGGTCTCTCTCAGACACGAGGAATTGCACAGTTGGGATTTCTGTTCCAGGAAGAGTAAAACCTGTGAAAGGCCACTTCATCTGTCTCCTCAGGGACAGCTTCTCATTGTCACAACACCATTCTCATCCCTGGATTCCAGGGTCAATGCCCTCTTCACCTCAGAGTTTTATGCATTTAGGCCCAAATTAAGTCCCCCTACCTCCAGGCAGCTAATTAAGGTGTCCAGTTTGGGAACACAGTGGGAACAGGCACATGATTTTAAGCGATTCATGTGTCTGTGATCCAAAATGTCTCCTGGACCTGATCCTCTCCTCTCTGTACAGGGACTGGGGGCTCCCAACACTCACCCTGTCACTTAGGAATGACAGGACAAGGGGGAAATGGCTTTGATATTGGGAAGAAATTCTTCCCTGGGAGGGTGCTGAGGTCCTGGCACAGGGTGCCCAGAGAAGCTGTGGCTGCCCCATCCCTGGAAGTGTCCAAGGCCAGGTTGGACAAAGCTTGTAGCAACCTGGGACAATGAAAAGTGTCTCTGCCCATGGCAGGGGGTGGGTCTGGATGGGCTTTAAGGTCTCTTCTGACCCAAACCATTACAGGATTCCATCATTCCATGTTCACTCAATATCCGAAACTGCAGCTACACCGCTGATGCTGAATTGTATCACAGTCAGAGTCATGGGATTCCCACAGGGAACTCCGAGTGAATTCCCTCAGGGCAGTTCCCCAGCTTTATATTTGAACTCTTTCCTTAGTTCTTTCCTAGGAGAGGGCAGTGAGCTTCCTGCAGCTGTTCCAGGTCAGGATGGCAGCCACTGCTCCTGAGGATGTGCTGCCTCCCTCAGAGCGACTGGGACATGGCACAGGGATAAACCCTGAAACCCCACAGCACCCCCGCCAGAGGGACTCCGAGTCAAGAGGAATTACTGTATCACCTGAATATATAATTTCAGTGCTTTACCCAACAAAATCTTGGTTATCTATCCAGGCTGGTGTTGATTTTAGAGTGAGTGACACTGAGAATGGAGATCTGAGATGGAACATGGCCCATTTTCTAACAAAATGGTTTCATTTTTAACATAAAACTATATTAAAGGCAGCAGCTGTGGTTAACATCACCCAGAGCACCTCATTGTACAGACCCGGGATTAGGATTTTTATTAACAAGTTCGGCAAAAATTTTCTAAGCCACCTTTACCTACCCAAGACATAAATTCACCGTTTTGGAAGAAAACTTTGACCTCTGTGAAAGACTTGGAAATTAATGATTTTAACCACACTAAGGATGATTTCTTTCCCCTCTTCATTCCAGCAGTTCCTAAATAGAAGCAAAGATCTGGATTTCCCGGGGTTAAGGTGCTCCTCAATCCGCACATGCGCCAGGCCCCTGCTCACGGCGCCACCGGGATTTGCCTCAGCTTCTCGGGGTTGTCGCGATATGCCAACGGGGCCGGGCTCGATCTCGGCCCCGCCTCGCTCTAGTCGTGTCCCCCCGCGAGACGTCACCTCTAGCACGGTGGGAGACATCCCCCCGGTGCCCCGGAAAGGACTGTCGTGTCGCTGTCGTGTTGCTATCGCGACACGGCTCACCTCGGCTCGGCACCGCCATCT